GAAAGTGTGAATATACACATGATACCTATATTTTTGTGTACCACGTATCTACAAATTAGGCTTTGAGTAGTAACATAATCAACTGAATAAAATAAAAAAACGTTCCGGTAAATTCGGATACGTTCATTTAAAGAAAATTAATGGTAAAACAGATACTTATTCATATTTCGTTTTTTTTTTTTTAGTAGAAAAAGAGGAAATTTATGTACTCTTCGGCGCACACGAAAATTTTGCTAGACTACTTCAAAAAGATTTCGCGACTCTCCACAATAAAATAACAGGAAATCTATTTTCTTCGGATTGAAGAATAATTACTGATTAATTTTAACAGAACTGATCAAGCAATTACTGAGTTAATATTTAGCTGAAATAGTTTATTTTATCTAAATATATATACGAACTACTCACAAAAAAACAAAGAAAGAATAATAAAAGGCAACAAAAGACGGAAAAATCAATTATAAATAACCAAGACTGATGAATTTCAACTGGTGTCAATTGTGCTGAATAAACATAAATTTTATACGTTTTCAATATGAGGGTGGCGGTACTGAACAATGAGTGGTGAGATTTTAGACGTACTGTAGTTCTTTGTTGACCATTTCTTCGGTAATAATGTGGAATTGCAATAACCTTTTATTGTAGGTGTTTTTAATTAATGCCAATTAAGCGACGGCACATACCATATTGAATAATTATAGCCCGTCACTTACATAGGGTTAAATTATATAAAAATGTAATTGTTATGTACCCAATCCAATCTTAAAGTTATAAGCAGAATAAAAAAGACTAGAAGTAGGAATAATATGCGTCACTAAATCTAGCTATGTCGTCCACTGCGTAGTAAGATACTGCGCATCCATTTTGCGCGTAAATAAAGACATTTTGTATTGCGCAGTCGCTCATCCTGCAGGGACAATTGTTTTATATTCTTTATTAGTACATGATAATGCCCTTTAGACTCATTCGCTTCGAATTAAATTATTACTCATCTATCTAATTTTCTTGGGAAAAATAGCGTAATATTAAAATAAAAAAAAATGAATTGGCGCTCATGTCGGTAAGCGTTTCTCTATCATACCTAGATAAACTAATATCAAAAACATTGTGCTTCAAGGCATCGTATAAACATCGATCGTGTCTATAACACTAGGAAGAAGTTCCGACAATCTGATATCAGGCACATGATATCGAATCCAGGTAGTAAAGAGGACGCAGTTTCAACGTAATAACTACCTTCTATTTTCCATGCCTTTCTGAGAAAACGATATACTTAACAGGAAAATGCAGTTAATATATGCAAATTAAAAGATTGCATTACTTTTAAATGCATATTCGACATTGTTTCGCCAAACATTATTGACTTCTTCTGATGCACTACTTACTACTATTAGACAAGTGGTAAATATTGCGCCTGAAAAAACCAACGTTCGACGAAACAAATATTAAGTAGATACTAATACATTTATGAAAATTTCCAGTACTATTGGGATCTGACATATTCAGTCCGGACCTCTAGTAGCGAAAGTAAGAACTATTACAGGCTTGCACTTACAAAATATGGTTAATTCAGAAATTCGAAGAAGATTGTTAAAGGTGTATGTTTGGAGCGCGGCGCTGTACGGGTGCGAAACATGGACGGTAGAAAACAAATGGTTAGCGGCGAATGATGGGGATACCATGGACAGAAAGGGTTGGAAATGAACATGTATTAGAAAGAATAGACCAGAGGACTCTATGGATGTTAATCAAAAATAGGCGAAATACGTTGGTAGGACACTTTCTCAGGCATGAGTAATTATGGAACAAATATGTGCATATATAGTTAACAAAAGTGCTTTTTTGGAATCTAATACGGGACATATGATTTTGTGGTCCGATACCGATGAGACCCTAAGATGTCTAATTTGATCACTGAAGTCCATAATACAAATTATGGGTTCGCAGTGAATAAATTTTTACTGTTCTTTGTACAACCTTACTGTTATTCCAATAATAAAAATAACTATTTGAAAATACCTAACAAATACCCTAGGTCACTGTTTCGAAATTTATAAAGTTCATTTTTTATATTCACGTTTAGCTGGTAAAGCTTCCATTCACTATTAGTGTTCTTCTTCGTAATTAAATATGGATGAAGCGAAATATATTTAATAAATTCTAAATCACACAATTAAATAAATTTGAAGCTACTTCAGGTAAGTTATTTCAGAGTATATCAAATTAGCATTCTTTATATAGTTCCATTCATTTTTAAAAATAAATACGTTCTGCGGAAGCTTCTCGTAACATTGAAATTCGACAGTCCTTTTATCCGACTCAACTGAACATGTGCTGGTTTCGATTTTCCTCGAATATTTTGTGATTTATTACCCACTGAAACTAACTTTTCATGCGTCAAGGAGTTCTCCAAAATTATAGTTCATAAAATGCTGCACGTTCCATAACTATGGACAAACAATTATTTCGTTTAACGCTCCGTTAGATTCGCATAGATCCACGAGATCTACACAATACTATTTTCCCAGTATTTAAAAGTTCATTTAAAAATAAATTTTTACCGCAAAATTAATAAGACATTAGTTAGCTTAGATATTTTCTTTACTGCTGACTATTGACTAGTGGTTTACGAGTATATCTATAAACTGAACATAAATAGTCTTTAATCAACTATAAATATACAAATGACAAACCTATCCTATCACGCATATATGTTGCGTTGTAGATTCAGTTTGACGAATCGATACATTCATAAACGCCCTTGCCAAACATTTGATGTATGGGACACCTGTATTTTTTTCTAAATAATTTCCGTCGGCTGCCATACACTTTTTCATACCCTGTAACCAACCACCAAAAATTTTAAAAAGTTTATCCTTTAATTTAGGAGCCCAATTGAGATAATTGAACGAGATATGTAGGTGCGTTATCGTAATGTAGCCGCCAAGTACCAATGCTCGAGTTAGGCCGGACGTTTTTGAGAGACTCAATAACTTGAAGGAAACTAATCTCTGTGTACCATGTTAGGGTGACAACTTTCTGTTCTTCAAGACATTCTCGCCATTATACCCAATTTGCCTAAGAAGACTACGACCACTTTCTTTTTCGATGACCGACACTAGTTGACCGTGGTCGGCTGTTTCTTATCTACAAAGACTACAAAGATCCTTATCTTGTTTTCAAATTTATATTCCACGTCGTAGTAGTATCACATGTTACAGTACATTTCATGTGAGGAGATTTCCCGCCATCAAACATAGTCAGCATTTCTTACTACACCACATTCGAGTCTAAAAGATGCGGTACCCACAACGTTCAAACTTTTTTAACTTTAAGATGATCATGTAAAATAGCGTCAATTGATGGTACTCTAATCTCCATGATTCTTTTTATGTGTTTGTCAGTTATTTGAACAGTAGGCGCGGCGGAAAAGGAAATGTTAGAAGCGTTAGAAATGTGGTGTTGCAGGTTAATGATGAGGATAGCGTGGATAGAGAAGGTAAGAAATGAAGAAGTATTAGAAAGAGTAAGAGAACAGAGGACTCTATGAAAGTCAATATGAAATAGGCGAGATAGGTTACTACTACCTTCTCAGGCATGAAGGTCTAGTCAGAGGCATATTAGAGGCACAACCAGGAGTTAGGAGGAGTAGAGGTAGACCTAGATTAGATTACTGTTCGCAAATAGTTAAGGATATAGGTTGTTGTAGTTCTAGGGAAATGCGAAGATTAGCTCAGGATAGGAAATAGTTGAGGTGCGTATCCAGCCAGTCTAAAGACTGACGACCTTATGAGGCTGATGAGTTATATATCTATCAGCGGTTATGTTTTCTGAAGACCATCCGAATCAAGAATCGTCAGAATCTCCTCTTTGGAACTGTTTGTACACAGTTTGTACCATCGATACTCTGAATTATAGGACAGTGCTTTTTCATGAAATACAAATTTTAATTCACTGACAATTATCAGCACTCAAACTTTGCTTAAAATTATAGGGCAATGAAAATCGCGGTGCGTTAACTCTAATATCTAGATATACTAACTAAAAATTCATTAAAAGATATTGCCGGTTGATATACTTCCTTCTTTATACAGTCGAACCTGGATAAGTGAGAACTGGGTAAGCGAGAAAACTCTATTAATGAGAATATTTGCCATGCCCCGTCATTTTGCCCTTCTAAAGCCTCTATAAGTGAGAAACATAAAACCTGTATAAGCGACAGTCATTTTTTATACGTGAACCTCTTTAAGTGAAATTGCTACTTGCCTATACCTCTATAAGCGACAGTTAACTTTTGCCATGTTATGACTCATTCTTAAATTTCAAGACACTCTTATTTCATTCGAATGACCAAATGTGCGTCTGTTGTTATTTTCTATAATTCTAGGAACTTACGTTGTATTCGAATGACCGAGTAAGTATTTATTATTTTATTATGGCCAAATGTGCGTACCGACTTGTTTAACAATCTTATTACAGCCAGTTCATAAAAGCAGTTGCGAAGAAAGGTTTTGTACTTCCTCATAATGTCTAAACGAAAACTCAATGTGTTGTCGAACCGTATTTTGATGTACCTTTATAAGTGAAACAGATTCCTCCTGTAACTCTGTAAGCTAGAAACTGGGGTTAGTGATAAATCTCTATAAGAGAAAAACAGATCGCGGTCCCTTTAGCTCTCACTTATCCAGGTGCGTTACCGATAACAGTTTGATACTCATACTGTAAATATTTTTACGATATCTCAGAACTTTGCTAGTGCCCTACGTACTGTACAATAAAAACCAGCGGGTGGCTGTACACCATGAATAAGCTGCTATTAAACGGCGTTCTCTTATGAAGTTACAGTTTAGTCGGTGATTTATCCAATCTACCTAGAGTCTACTTATCAGAGCTTATAAGTGCGTTCAAAGTTACAATCCACGTTTAGCAGTTCGGATAAATTACTAGTCAAGAACTTAATGCTCGTGAAAATATTCAAACAAAATGACTTTGTTACTTACCGTAATAGTGATAGACGCTTGCATCATTTGGTGCCAATTTCTGCGCTCTCCTGAACCACTGCTCTGCTTCTACGGCACGACTCGACTGTAACAAACAGTAACATCGTCATTTAAATGTCCTCTTTCTATAAATTACGAACTAGAAGCAAGAAACCTAAAGAAGCAAGAAACCTAACCTATTTACAAATATAATCACCATCTCATTAAAGCAATTTCTCAGAAAAGCCGAGAGTTTCAAAGTAGCTATTAAGATTTAATTAAACCGCCTTTAGGACGTCGAAACTCTACAGTAGAAACGCCCACTCATTCGATTCTCTTTGACAGTCGCTTTACTGTGTAGAGAAAGTTAATTCTTAGCATTGAATAAAACTCCGAAACAATTACTGTCGTAATTTGGCCCTTTAATCAACACGAAGCCTTCAACAGATATTTGAGAAAGTATTTATATTGCAAAAACAATTTTGTTTTTGATTTTAAGAAGCGGAAAGCATCTACATTTAAGTCTCTGACGCAACCGTCTGAATTATTTGCTAATACTGTAGTGAACCCATAAAATGGAAATATAATATATTAGATAGAATCGCGATAATATTAAAAGAAAACTGGAAAAAAGTGTAAATTCCGTGTCTCGAAAAGTTTTCATAATAAATATGTTACCGGAAATGTATAAAATCTAGGAAATGTATACCTACAATTCCGGGGCTATTTAGGAAACGTATAAAATATTGTTTCAATGATTTTTTAATACACAGATATATACATGTTATATGAAATGTTAGAGTATTTTATTCACAGAAAGCATTTTCTTGTACAATATCGGAATTTCATACAATTCCTAGGAAATGTACACATTTGAATAGAAATTAATGACTAATAAGTTGATTGAAACAAACCAAAAGCAACACTTATACATATTCAACAAACGACGGCAGTAAAATAATAATAAAAATATTAACATTTGCCAAAATAATGACAAATTATTGTTTATTCCATAGGATTTTATTTTTTTAGTGTAATCGTTTTTTATGCTTCTATAGTAGCGAACGGTTAATTTAGAAATTCGAAAGAAGTTGTTAAAAGTGTATGTCTGGAGCGCGGCGCTGTACGTATGGAGAACATGGTGGGCGCGACGAAAAAGGAAACGTTAGAAGCGTTCGAAATGTGGTGTTACCGGCGAATGATGAAGATACCGTGGATAGAGAAGGTTAGAAATGAAGAGGTATTAGAAAGAGTAAGAGAACAGAGGACTCTATGGAAATCAATAAGAAATAGGCGAGATAGGTTACTAGGACACTGTTGAGTCGTAATATTCATTTTGTTTTTTATATACTTTTCAGCATTTGTATCTTCGTATTTCTAGCGGAATGTTTATTAAGTAATAAAATGAATAGCAGAACAGAGGACCTGTTGCGTCATCAATTAATATTTGTATATATACATATTCAATTTTGTTAGGGTTCGTAATTTTTGTAAATATTTAATTTTGTTCGTATTTTTAGATAGTCAACACTTATTTTCTTATAGTTCTATTCAATTTTAAAGTATTTATTTGTGTAAGTATAGATAAATATTAGTTTCTTAGAATAGGTAATGCAGTCATTTTAACGAAGAGATCGGACCGGGTCTCACAATATCATTCATTAATGGAAAACCGAAGTCCGTCGCTACGTCATCACTTCGGAATGTACAGATAATACATGAGGGGTGCGTAGCGACGGTGAAGGGGTAATTCTGCATGATAGGCGTTGCCTATTTTGTGCAACGAGAAAGCAAATTTTCAGTATTCAACATTCAAAATTCGAAATTCAACATTCAAGCTTCTACATTTAATCAATTCACATTCAACAACAATTCAATTATCAACCAACAATATTCAATATACAAGTAAATAGTTAATAAGTTATACATAATGTTCATATTGTACAAAATAAAAACCGAACAAACAAAAAAGTGATTTATTCGTCAACAACAAAATCCGAAAGAACATATGGGACAGTGAGCGAATACTGCAACCACCGAACAGGACCCTTTGAAAGTCAATTAAAAATAGTCGCCTTGACTAGCCAGAGCCATATTAGATGCAGCAACAGGAGTTAAAACGCGTAGAGGTAGATCTACTGTTTGCAAATAGTTACGAATGTGAGATGTTCTAGTTTTAGATAAATGTGAAGATTAGTAGACAAGAGTGGAGATGCGTGTCCAACCAGTCCAATTTGGACTGACGATCTTATGATGATGATGGTAATATTTGCATAATGACCGTTTGGTCTCCTTATACAAGCTAGTAATAATGAATTAAGCTATTATAAAAGTGAACAGGTAAATTAAATAACATCTCTCCAGCTAATAATACTAAGAAATGCACCAAATATACCGAAAATTCACAGCAATGGCCCAACAGCAATGTCGAGTATCGATTTTTACTGCCATTGAACATTAGTTTCTATTACTGAACGTATAGTTTGTTGACGGTATGCGCAGGCCTCATCATAGGGTGAGTGAAGAAGGATAACTGCCTCACCATCCTACCATATTTGCCTCTCGTGATTCTTCGATCGATCTTCGAATTCGACTCCTTGCATTATTATTGATCCCACTATTTAAATGATTGATAATTGACCCAGTAGTACCAACCTTGTACTAATGGCCTAAATAGAAATTTATGGATGCCATGTAACATCCCCCCACCGAGGAGAAAGTCACGTCCATACGATTTCCCTTTTTAAATTCTTATTTTTAAAATTTTCAGGGGTTACAAATTCTCACAGTTCCGTTCTTTGACGTCTAATACACGACGACAGTAGCACTCAAAACAACGTTATCTTCATTGTCGTTTATTGACTACTCGTCAGCAAAACTACTGAATTTAAAAGGGCCGTAGTAAAGAGAATTGTACCGAATTTTTAGGATCTGTCGAAATTAGGACGTATTTTGTTGTTTCGAGGTCCTTGTAGATGAATGGCTTCTTTTCCACATGTCTTGTTCCGGATACAGGCTATAGTAGTTGGAAATGCTGTCGAAGTTTGTACGAAGGTTGATGTTGGCTGTTATTGGTTTGCGAGCTTGGTGAAGAATTCTCTGGGTAGACGCGATGACTTTTTATATACTGTTGCTTTCAGATCTTCCTTCCTTCGCATCCCTAAAAGTCCAGTGAGAAGATTCTGGGTAAAGCTGTTGCTTTAAGACATGTTATTGAAGCTGTCAACTTGTGATGAAATCGTCCGACCATTCCATTTGCTGCAGGGTGGTATGCCGCGGTATGGATGTGGTTAGTGTTCGTTAGATGAGACAGTTCAATAAGAGTTGAAATTCGAATGGTCTTCCTTAGTGATGGGTGTGGTCTGTAGTAATCCGTGAACCTACACCAAATCGATAGATCCCTTTTTCGTAGAAAGCACGTCCTATGGTTTCAGCTTCTTGATCTTTGATGGGAATCAGTTCGGGCCAACGTGTGAACCGATCTACGCATGCGAGCCAGTAGCGGTATCCTTCAGAGTAGGATATCACGACTGGAAGTATGTGTACGTGTTCGAATCTGACTCAAGGCATGTTGAAGATTCCCAAAGGGGCAGAAACGTGCAGGGGAATTTTTGTTTTTGACATGGAATTCATGCGTGTGCCCATTTTGCGCAATCACTGTTTGCTGATAACCAGATGAAACGTTGTGAGATTAATTTGAAAGATGCACGAATAGCAGGGTACATTAAGGAATGTACGTGGTTGAAAAAGGCGAAGCGAAACGATGAGGTCAAGAATGGTCTAGTTGTTCCTGATGCTTTCAGAAGAGAACTTTGTTTATACCCGGTATATGGATACGTTTTAATAGTAGGAACTTAGAATTGAGATATGATTGAAATTCTCCATCGGACTCTTGTTGAGTTGCAAGGGCTTCGTAATAAATGGGAGTTGATACTTTTAAAATACGTAAAAAAGTGTCTCCTATGATGTTGTCTTTACCCGATATGTGTTGTATGTTTGTTGAAAATTGGCTGATGAAATTTAAATGACGTGACTGTGGCTAATTATTGCCCATTTAACCCTGGATTCTTTTAATTGCTCAAATAATCTCTAAAATGCCATTGTCATATTGTTGGCATCATTTGTTTTAAAACATGGGCGCCTAAACAACCAACTTCAAATTAAATACATCTGAAATCTGAAAATGCATTGACAACATAAACATATATACCTACCTAGATAGACCCATAAGGGGCCATCCATAAATTACATCACAAGTTTTATGATTTTTTAACCCCCCTCCCTGTCCTTGTCTTACGTTGTCACATGCGTTGTGTGTTGTGAAGCCCCCTTCTGCAGTGACGTCACAAATTTTTCAATTTTAAATGTAGAAATAATTAAATTGAAATAGCAATTCAAATTTTTGTTATTATTCCCATTGAAAATAATCTTCAATAAAAGTGTAAGAACTCAGATTATTTCAATATATAATATTTCAAACACCCTAAAATAAAAGTCAACCAAGGGCAGTATGTTCGAAAATATTTCAAGGACTCATTTGTTTAGACTAGAATAACACTTATCTTGAGCTCGCTCCGTCCCTAGATTGCCTATGTAGCTATGGGAATATCTTGTAAATACATACATATACTATATAGTTTCTACTGTCCCGTTCCCTGTGTCTTAAACTTAATCAGGGCAGTGTATTAAAGACAGTGAATGTGTGCAGTGTTGTGTTGTTGTTATAAAAGGGTGAGTTTTTTCACTGAGCGTTCTGCCTGTTATATTTGTCTACCTTTTGAATCACTTGATAAATGAATATCCTGTATGAATAATGTTATTGATAAATAATTACTCGATGTTGATAATTCGTATGTATGTGGTTTTGATGTAGTCACTTGCAGAAAATCACAATGCGAGTTCGCCCTTTGTGATAGTTTTCTCATTAAGGTAGCTGGAGAGGTCACACTGCGAGTTTGCCCTTTGTGACCATTGCACCCCTCAGTACCGACCATGCCAAGTAAATGGTCAAACCCTAGTATCTGAAGAGAGCACATTGCGAGTTCAGCCCTTTGTGCTCATTGCACATCTTAGTACTAGTGGTAATGTGAATAAGTAATACCGGCG